GCTTCCTTCAAGACCACAGAAATATTTGTTGTCCCTTTCAACATGTTGTTTAAATTAGAGGATGCTGTAGTCACCAAACAAGAGGACTTCAAATACTGACCTTGCAACACATAGGTTAATATGAGGGAAATCTCTAAAAATCAGTGATGACACAAAGGCTGCCACTGTGTTCCTACACTGTTACCTGCAGCAGGTCACAGCAGTCAAGGCTGTCACTTCAGCAGCACAGAAATCAGCTCTAGTCAGTAAACTTAATTATCCATGCTAGAGCCACAGAATGACAGTAGCTTCCTCAAGTCCAGCAATCAATTCTGTGCTCTTCCCTTGAACCACAGGGCCCTGTTCAGCTTCATCCTGCCACCCAGATCATCCACATCCAAAGACCACATGGTGCTGAAGTCCTGTCCCTCTGTCTCCAATTAGTGCTCTGCTGAGTACTCTGCTGAAGCCACAGCCTGCAGGATATGTGACAACAGCCCCAAAACAGCCATAGCATCTACTTTGAAAGTAAAAAAAAAAAAGACTCCACCTGCAAATGGGGAAAATAGAAGGCTGCCTAATGTTAGCATCAGGCTCTCTAACAAGCAGGTGTTGCTCTATTGCAATTGTCTATGAAAAGAACCCCAGCTACTTAAATGACTACAAAGTGGAATTAGATACCTGACATGAGCCTTTCACCGAGCAGCAGCTCAGATTTTGAGGCAACTTCGGAGCCCTTCTGACAAAACCAGTCTCACCTGCTCTCGCCTCACCCTGCATGGGGTGACTCGACAGTGTGACACACCACAGGTTCCTCCACCTCTCTGTCTCCTGACTCCATCCCAGCCACCAAGGGACGTCATGATACCTTTTGACTCCAACTCAGGGCTGGTGAGCATGTTCACTTTGAATCATGCGCATATGGTGGCCTAGTTAGCCCCGCTCTAGCCATGACTGAGAGACTCACAGGGGAACTACACTATGATACCTCCATCTGTACCCCTTAAGGTGACTGGCACTATAGTCCCTGCTTCTGCTCACCCTCAGTGTGGGAGACAGGCAGAGTAGAGGCGTGTGATCTCCTCCCTGCTCTGATACCTCAAGAAGGGGATAGCAAGGCAGGTGGCAGATGTGCACTTTCCCTCCACAAAAGACCTCTTGCTAATCCTCCAGAGCCTTTCAAAGCTCCCCAATAGCTCTGAAGCATCCTTCTGGACAGGGGCTGCTAGGCTCACACAGTATTTTGGCCCATGGCTTTATATTTGTTGTCATGTTTTTACTCTGTGAAAACCCACATCACCTTATCTTACTTGCCCATCTTCTGCAATGGACACAGACCCCGGCTTTCTTATGTCTACACTCATACAGCCCCTTCACAAGGCAGGAATAAAGGAAAACCAGCAGTCAAACATAACCCCTCCCAGCCCAAACACCAGAAGAATCATGCACGGGACATCAGGACACCTTGTACAAAAGGCAGTCTGGAAGAGCCCGTGGTGCCCCAGACCCAGCCTAGCACAGGGCAAGGGGAAACAGCAGCAGGGCAGTCAGCAGGTGCATATGAATGCAAGCTTGGAAAATCCAGTCACATTTGTCCAAACAAAGCACACATGTCTACTATCAGACAGATGGCAAACCACCTCCACCCCCCCATCCCAAGTCATTTAATAGCTTACAAGACATGAATAACCTAAAAGCTCTTCAGTCCAGGGGCTAAAAGAACATCACATACAAATGAGAGCATTCCACAATGTCTTGGAGAAGTGAACCATTCCTGTTGGTTACTCAAAGAGAGATATGACTTTCTTAGCCTGGTAGGGACACTTTCATTTATATATCATGCAAATGTAAAAGAAGAAAACCAATTTAACACATTGAGTTGTTATCAGCCAAGTGGATGACTGCAGCCTCAAAGCATACTAAAATTCCAACTCAGATGCCAATTAAGTTACTATTTTGTCCAGCTACAAAACTGTTTCAAACACAAAAACTTCCTTAAAAGGACCCCAACAAGGCATTTTTATTTCACTTTCATTCACTCTTTGCAATAAACCCTCAGAAAGCTGAATCCAGAACCTTAATTTTTATTTACCATTTCTATACACAGTAGCCCTATTCCTGGAGATTTGTATTATCAATGGAAGCTATAGTGTGCAGGATAGAGAGGAAAGGAAAGGAGAGGAAAAGCAAAGATTAATCTTCAACTTGTGAACTCCCTTTTTGAATAGGACTCTAATAAAAATTTTTTGGATGACCAAAGAATGCACCATAAGTTTCATGAATGACGACACAGATTGCACAACCACACAGAGAGCCAGACTGCACTTCCATTTTTGAGCACAAATTTGGCAGTGTCTACACAGAAATATTTCCCTTATTAAGGTCAACTGGCTGCAAAGCACTTCTTCGGTGCAGTCCTAAAAAGCTCACAGACCTATTTAAGTATTAGGAACATTGTAATTGTCAGTGATTTCCACTAAAAGAGCTTGGAAAGAAACACAGACATCTCCCTCACTACATATTTTTGTAACATTAGACTCCTCTCTTTCCTACACCTTGTCAAAAATGACACCAACCATGATTCACTTGCATGACAGCAAGCTTGGCAGCATGGCTTAGACATGCACACCTCCTGATCAACAAAATCGGGAGGGAAAAAAAGTCTTGAGTTCACGATTGCCATTTAGGGGCTCCTAAACAGTCTTTTATTCATAGAGCAGATACACAGCAAGGAATATTTTAAATTAAATGCAGACATACAGGCCTCCCAAGTCAAATCACAGTTCACATTTTTCATATAGTCCAGATCAAACCTGGGCTAGATTCAAGCATCATCCATGACAACAAGCAGGCTTCTCAATAAACTGATTTGATCACTCTTCAGCATTTCCACAGATCAGCCTTGCCTTTTAAACATGTCTGTCTGCTGTTCTCCCAGCTAGAGTCACAGGGTATCCATGTTTAAAAGTCATTCCCTGCCCCCAAAGCAGGGACACACCTGGGATGCTATCCTATGCCCCTGATTGCAAGGCCTGAATTCCCTGCTGGAGCGCCTCAAAAATGCTGCAACCCCCTTTCCACAGGCAGCATCACCCAGGTGTCATTTGGAGACCTGGCACACAAGCCCCAGCTCCCCCCATGCTCAGCACACTGCTTACCTGGGCCTTCCCTTCCCAGCACACCTGGCCTGGCTCCCAGGCGAGATAAATCCTTTCCCACCTCTAAGGAAACATACATGGCACAGCCAAGTCCAAAGGAAAAGGCCCTTCAATGCCCCTCTCATGCTTCTGAACCTGCTCTGACCATCACTGGGGTCAGCAACAGCCTGCAGACAGTCTGGCTCCTCTTCAAATTTCCCTTCTAAAGCATCATCTACTCACAGGGAGAAAAGTGACAGCCACAAAGCATTCACCAGTTAAAAAAAAAATGAAAGAGATGCGTGACTAGAGACTGGAATTCACAAGCTAAACCTTCAATAGGTGCCCATCACACTGCACGCTCACGTGTCTGCTGTCGTGACTAATTTTGGCAGTTTTTTGGGGAGGGTTGTTGAGGTTTTTTCAGGGGTTCTGTAGCAGGTGTGGTTTTTTCAGTTTCCAGAGTGTTTTGTTTGGAAAGCAGATCACATTGCCCTATGCACCATGTCAGCAGCAAGATATCACTCAGCAGGTCTCACAGCATGGGCTCACCCCCCAGTCCAATGGCTCTTACATAAGTGAGCATTTGGAGGGAGATACAGCTGATGGAGCCAGGACTCAGGCTGAGGAGCAAACTGCACCTTCTTATTCTAAATGTCCAGAGAAAAAAAAAAAAAAAAACCAACAAAAAACAAGAAACCAAACCCCAAAACGACCCCCAAAAACCCACACCTTATAAATCACATTTGCTTATGAACAAATTCAGCACCACTGCTTGCTCTAAGTCAAATCATGCTACAGTTCCCTGCACAATTTCAGGCTACTTCTTAATAATGTGCCAACACACCTCTAACATTGTTGTTACAATGCAGATTTCTGGACCATTGCTCACAGTCCAGACTGCATTTTGATTTCATGCAGATTTACACATCAAAGCACCTTTCCCATGGCACCCTGCAAGCCGCAGAGCAAACCCAAGCAGAGCAGGGAGGACACTAGTTAGTACCTGCACACACAAAGTAAAACAGATGCTGCTGGAAAACATGACTGATAAAAATCACAACTTTAGAGGTGACAGCTTTAAAAAGCACCACAACCTGTCATGTTCCAGAGGAGAGAGGTTATGCTTTTTTCATTTGAGGAAGGGAGAGAGAGGAAGGAAAATAAAACGTGCTTGAGAACAGCTCCAAAAGGCAGTTTGGGAATCACTTCTAGGTGAGACACTTAAACAAAGAAGATGGAGTATCCTTCTCTCTTCAGTGAGGAATGCTTCCTACTAGAGACAGGGCTCAAAGAAAGCTCAGAGAAAGCTCTTTTTACACAGGGCTATGGAGACCAACACACCCATTGTCTACCAGGGGGAGCTTTCCTGCATTCAGACAGACTGCAGCATAGGCCAGGTTTTGGGGGTGAAGGGTTGAAGGGGGAGACGGGAGATACCTGCAATGTTTTAGGCATCTCTATTCATGTTTACAAATAGCTCCAAGGAAGTGGGAGCTGCAGGGTAAAAGGAACTAGGGGAAAAAAACCCCAACAGCACAATCCCATTCAAAGAAATCAAAACAAGGAGAATAGTTCAGAGACTTCTCAACAATGGCACTGCCAACCCTCAGGGCCAAAACCCAAAAAGCAGAGAGAAAAGGCACAGACAAAGGGGGATGTAACACCCCCCTCCTCTCAGAATAAGGTTATTTTAAGCCTGTCTCCTTGGAGCTACCCTAATATTTTCTCTCATGACTCAAACCACCAGGGAAAGGAGTTAGAGCAGAGAAGAAAAGAAAAAAGAAAAAAAAAAAAATAGAGCTATGGCTGACCTCACAAGACACCTCTCTAGTAGGGGCAAAGCTCCAAAAGAGATGAAAGGCAAGCTGGACTGTGCCTTACCTGGGAAAGTATGTGGGTTGGGTGACCCTCTTTTAAGGCACTTTGAACAGAGGACATGCACAGTGTAGTACAGGCCCGGCCATTCCTGGAGCAGGACATTCAGTTCTTCCACTAAAGGCGTAATAGCTTGCCAAGCTGTCCAGATATTTGGTAGGGACGCGTGACTAGCGATAGACAGAGTGTCTGGCTGCAGAGCTCCCCTGGCAGGCCGGTAGCTCACCACCACAGGCACCTTTCCCCGGTAGGCATAAATCTGGTATTTGCCATCTGACCGCTGAACCACGTGGCTGTTAATCTGGACACTGTAGCGTGCAAACAAGCCGGGTGGGAAAATGAATGGAAAGCTATATTCAATCTGCAGCTGCTCAACCACGAAGGACTGTCCGCTCAGATTGGTGCCGTGGATCCATGCCTCCGCATGGGGCACCTCGTTTTTCACGTAGCAGGGAAACTTGTACCAAGCAGCCGCCCCGTTTAAGGGCTTACATTTGGGTTTGTTGACACAGTAACACAGCCCCATCTTCTCCAGCAGCTCCAGAATGAGCTGCAGATCCTCCCGACTCTGGATGTGGGGCTTAAGAAGGAGACGGATAACGTGGGCAGGAAGGAGGCCATGCAGCAAGAAGCCCTCCACGTAATGATGGAGCTGAGTGGTCCTCAGTTCGTCAATCTGAGTGTCGCTGAGCAGTTTCTGGAGCAGCACGGTGGCATCCCGCTGGCAAAAGACGTTGAGGATGTCTATGAGCCGCGGCAGGTTGTGGAACACGTACTCCCGCAAGGTGAGGTGCTCCTCAAAGTAGAGCAGCTTTCCGCTCTCGTGCAGGTAGGACAGGGCGCTCTGCAGCCGATCCTCCGTCAGGCCCGCCTGCAAGCCCAGCCGGGCAGAGTCCCACCAGCTAAGCCACAGCTGCTGAGCCTGAGGCTGGAAGTGCAGCTCCTCCAGAACTTGCCAGGACTTGGGCAACACCCGGTGCAGGTTTGGGAAAATATCCCGGTGCTCGGCCACTGAGAGGAGCTTGTCCCGCAGGCGACGCACCTGGCAACGGTCCTGGCAGCTGAAAGGCAGCACTGGAGACAGGATCTGTGGGCGGTGGTTGAGAAGATACTGAAACTGGGCTTTCTTCCGCCTCAAGTTCTTGTCTGAGACCCCGTAAAAGGCAGCATGCGGGCTGGAGCAGCGCAGGTCAAAGTCCTGTCCCAGAGCCTCATCCACCTGCTGGACTAAGCTCTGGAGTCCTTCAGCATCCCTCTTCTCCTGCTGAGCGATCTGGTGATGGATGTCCAGGCATTTCTCTTCCAACTCCCGCTCCGCACAGAGGTCGGCATGGGTTCCCACCATGCACACTACGGCATGGGGCACCTTGGAGCTGAGCCAGTGTAAGAAATAGCCCACAGAGCGGTAGAAGTGCTGAGGGACGTAGGCACTCAAATTCACCACCAGCACATACAAGGCTCCAGGGGAGAGGAAGAAAGACTGGATCACATCATAGCTCGGGTCCCCCGCCAGCTCATACACAATGAATGTCAGGCCCCTCTCTGCATCTGCTGTCCAGTCCATCACCTCGATGCCCTTACTGCCTCCTGATAGTCCTAGTCCCAGTGGTACTCGGGGCACATTGGGTGGCAGTGATGGTGCAGGGGATGTTTTGTCTCTTTTTGCTCGGTGAGAGGGCACACGAGAAGGGATGTCCTGCCGCTCAACAGGGAGACGTTCCACCTGTTGCATGACAGGTACCCGAGTTGAGGAATTGTCTTGAGGCTCTGGAAAGGGGCAACACCCAACTGCCACCCTCCCAACATCCTGCTGTTGCCCAGGAAACCCTCTGTGCTGGGTGTTCCCAGCCTCCAGGCTTCCCATGTCCTCTCTCTTCTCATTTTCCTCCATGAGGCATCGTCTCAGCAGGGTCTTTCCTGCATCCTTTAGGCCCATGAGGACTAGTTTGAGGCGGGGTTTGAGGGCAGGCTGGGAGTGGGCCAGTTCCTGCTGGTAAGCTGCGATGTAGGGGATGCCTTTCATGCACACCTCATAGGGGGGCTGGATGAGGGGGTTGTCTTTGATCTTCCACAGGGTGACACGGGAAAGCTGCCCGAAGCCCTCAGGCAGGATGGCGATCTGGTTGCCTTGCAGGACCAGCTCCTCTAAGCTGTGGAGCAGGACGATGGAGTCAGGCAGGTAGCGGATGCGGTTGTTGTCCAGCCAGAGAGTGCGGAGCTGGTGGAGCTGACAGAGGTGAGGGGGCAGCACGGTGAGCTGGTTGCGGCTCAGGTAGAGCTCCTCCAGACTGGGCAGTGCCAAGATGGCAGAGGGAAATTCCTCCAGCAGGTTGGATGAAAGGTTCAGCATCTTGAGCCGCTGTAGTCTGCCGAAGCCAGCGGGCAGCGCCTGCAGCCGGTTGCCGTCCAGCATGAGGCTCTCGAGGGCACTCAGCTGGCAGAGACCCTCGGGAAGGGACGCCAGCCCAGTGCCGCTGAGCCAGAGGATCTTGAGGCGGCGGAGAGCAGCGATGCCCTCGGGCAGGGCCCCGAGGTGGCGGTTGCCGGAACAGTCGAGCTCCTCCAGGGCGGCCAGCTCCAGCAGCGGGGCAGGGAAGGAGGGCAGCAGGTTGTGGTCGACGTCGAGGGTGCGGAGGTGCCGCAGGCGGCCCAGGCCCTCGGGCAGGCGGCGCAGGCGGTTGAAGCTGAGGTCGAGCTCCTCGAGGCAGCCCAGCTCGGCGAGGCGGGGGGGCAGCCCCGGGCCCTCGGCGCCCAGTTCGTTGTGGCTGAGGCTGAGCTTGCGCAGGCCCCGCAGCCCCGCCAGCGCCCCGCCGTCCCCCAGGCCCCGCAGCCGGTTGTGGCTGAGGTCGAGCTCGGCCAGGCGGTCCAGGTGGCGCAGGGCGGCGGCGGGCAGGCGGGCCAGCCGGTTGCGCCGCAAGCTGAGCACCCGCAGCCCGCTCAGGGCGGCACCCACCTCCTCGGGCAGCTCCTCCAGCCCCCGCCCGCACAGGTTCAGCGCCTCCAGTTCCCCCAGCGCAGCCGCCGCCAGGGACGGGAGGCGAGGAGCGGCGGCACCGGGGGGCGGCGGCGGCCCCCCCGGCGGCCCCGCGTCCGGCTCGGGCTCGGGCTCGGGCTCGCCGGGGCCGCCCTGCAGCTTCCGTGCGCGCAGGGCGGCGTCGCGCCACAGCCGCACCGCCTTCGGGGGCTCCGTCTGAGCCATGGCCGGGGGAGCGGGCCCCCGCCCCGCCCGACCCTACCTGCCGCCGCCGCCGCCGCTGCTCGCCATGGGCGCGGCCGCGCTGCGCGTCGCCGCCGTCGCGACGGGCTCGGGGCTCCCCGCGGCTCCGCGCCGGCACTGCCGCCGCGCCGCGCCGCCCCGCTCCGCTCACGTACCGCCGCCGCCGCTGCCACCGCCCCGCCGGGGGCGGGACACGGTCACGGCCCGGCCCCGACAGCGCCGCGCCGCCTCCGCGCCGGGGAGAGCCGGCCTTGCCTCTGGGGGACACCCCGCCCCTGCCAGCCGGGCACCGGCCCCTTCTCCCCGAGAAGGAACGGTCCGGAAGAGACTCCCGGCCTGTGGCTCCTACCCCCGGCAACGCCCGAGAGAGCGGCCTTCGGGTGCCCCGGTGGGGTGAGCCCGCCTGGCCCCGGAGGCGGTGGGGCAGCGGCGGTGGCGGTGCTGGTGGCGGTGCCGCCGGGACCCCGGTGTGTGACAGCCGCCGCCCCGGGTCTCGCCCAGCGCCTGGGCTCGCTGAGAGCTTTGGGAGCCGCCCGACTCACCACGGAGCTACGGCAAAAGGTGTTGTGTTGCCCCGTGTCATTTTTTCTCGAGGCAAGGGCTGATTTTTCATCCAGCCCTGCAAGAAATCGAGGTTAACCTTTCTTCCCATTCAGTAAATGTTCTTCCGTGTTGAGAGAGTGCGAAAGCCTGCAGCCCTCTGGTTAATCGGAGCAACTCTGCCACCTTCCTGCCGTGCTTTGTTTCCTGTGCTGCATCCATCTGGCCAGACCCTAAACACTGCCTTCTCCAGGTTCCTCAGTCAAGCTTTGCCCCAGGGGGTCGCAGAAATAGGCGTGGAAATTTCCGCCTCTGCTATCGAGGGGGAGGAGAGCCCCTTTACAGCGGAGCCGCGAATCAGGGTGACTCGGGCTGTGGGCGCTCAGTTTTCCCGAGATGTGTGACCTTACCCTTACAAATGTCAGCGATGCACCGTGGCCAGAGGTTCACAGATTGTAAAACGTCATTGTCTTTGTTCAGCACTGGGCACTCCAGCGTGCCTTGGGGGCTTTGGTGCTTCCTTTCACCGTGGAAGCAACCCTTCGCCTTGTTGTTACAGCTAACATTAAAGCATGCTATAAGCTATTACTTCAGACCCACGAAAAGAAAAAAAAAGGATTTGAAATTAAAAGTAGTACACAGGGCAACCAGATTTATTGTCTTCCTTATTGTGGAAAGCCATCACAAGAACGACACCTTTCCTTTTGGGTGGCCTTGTGCATCTGACTGTGCTTGGAGAGGAGGAGAGAGCTGAACCAGCTTTGTGTGGAGCTATAGTCACTGCACTAAATTATAAAATTCACAAATTACTAAAACTACAAGATTGCAAAGGCTCAGATTTAGTTTCTGTATTTCCTATCATTAGCAGACAAGCAGAGATAAAAGACTTTTTCAGGCCCTCTGAGTCCTAGGAAACCTTCACCAGGTTGCTGCTAAGTGAGAATGACATCACTGTGTAGGGAAGATCTTCCTGTGTTGGCTGGTAAAGCCAGACAAAGGACACAAAGAACAGGGAGGAAAGTCCATGCTGAGAGAAAGTGTGGCTGTGTGAAGGTAAAACTCATTTCCAAGTAGAATTCAGGAGCTGCCCAAAGCCAGCAGAGGCAGTCCTGAGCTCATGTTTTGGCTCTAGGGCCACTGTTGGGAGAACAGTATTCAGGGATACACATGATCCATGAGACTGCTGAGAGGTCCTAAACCTGGGGATAAACTTCTTCCAGATCCTGGCCCTGGGAAACAGAAATACTTCATGGCCTCTTGCTAAATTGTGCCCATCTAGAAGTAGTTTCCAAGCTTATACTCATTTATTACAGAGCATCCCTACAGTGGGTCAATACATCTTTTATTTGGGCTAACCTAGTTTTTGTGTCTTTCCTTTTCTGAAGGTCACGTAAGAAGTTGCCCTTCTCTGTGCTCCAAAAGGAGCACTCTCCTTCCTCATTTCTAAAGTGGCACATTCAATTCCTACTGGGGAAAGAGTCATTCCCTTCTCCCACCCTCTTGCCCAATAACTCTTGTAGAAATAAAACCAGGTTGATGGTTTCATTTCCTGCCCTCTACATGCAAAACCACCCAACCTGTTGCTATCAAAATTACAATTTTAAATCAAGATGGTGTTTCTAGAAACAAAAAATCTCTGCAGGGAAAATTTACCCTGGCTTCAAATTTGCAGCAAATTTTCTTCTTTCCAATGCCTTGTGCAGGTAAAGACAGCAAAAGCAGCATCATTATTGAGGGGCACCCACCCCATGATTCCTCTGGGCACTGCAGATCCTCTCTGAGGCCAGGACAGGCTTCCAGTTGCTACATGACCCGCAGCAAGTGAACTCAAAAGGCTGCCACTGCATGATCCTCTTGCTTCCCATGGGAAAACTGGAGGAGCTCCTCCACTGGGGATGCTCCAAGCAGCTGCTTGGCTCAGCCAGCTGAAAAACACCAGGGAGAGCAGTGCTTATCTCCATCTGCCTGCTATTAGAGGTCATAGCCTGTATTAAACGTATCTTCCGGCAGCATGCAAGGACAGACAGGGTAAGTTTTTTTCACTAAGCAGGGAAAGCTTTGACTGTCAACCTTCCTATCGAAATATGCAAAGCAGCAGGAGCTGAATTCCTCCCCACTGAGAAGGAGAAGTCTTGTAGCACTATTCAAACTTTGATAAGCTCCTGTAGGTGATGAATGAAGCTAAGGCAGAAGAAACGTGATGAACAGCATGCTGACACAAAGACATCCCCAGGGCTGCTTGAAGGTTGTCCAAAGAGGAAAGCTCTGCTGCTTTCCTATGAGCCTTACACTTTATCCCATTATGCCTGCATGAGTGTGCAAATCCATGATGGTGCCAGCCAGGGATGGTTTCTCTTGGCTTTTTCAACACATTCACCACAGTCAAAGCTGCCAATAGGGAATGAGATAGGTAGTTTCTGGGGAAAAGATTTTGTTTCGCATAAAATGTGGCTTTTGGTACAGACCTAGATGATTCCTTATCTTCCCATCTTCTTAGGCAGAGAAGATATATTTTTCCAAACATGACTTCCTCATTTCCTCTCAATTTACTCATCAGCTTACTAGGGGTCCATTAAACATGAGCATCAGCATGCTGGATGCTGGTTTTGGAGCCATTTCCTAATTTTTAGAGGTTAAAAATATTCAGAAACCACACCAAACCTCTTTCTTGCTGCTCAGGATCAGCTGGGACTTACAGCCAGGTGGCTGTAAGATTGCCAGGAAATCCATAAAGCATTTTATTAAAAAAAAAAAAAAAATCCTATTTCAGTGGGTTCCATTATATGTCAGAATTGCATTTGCAGTTATTAATTTTAAATAGTAGTCCTGCAAAATCCTATGGATGGAATTTAATTATTCAGATGAAATCTGAAGTGCTTCCACTTTACTGAGCTCTGCACCTGCATCATTAATAAGATTTCTATGTAAAGCACCTTCTTCCTGGGTCAGGGAAAAGGCACTGAGTAATCAACAGTATTTTAAGCCCTTGCAGGACAAGAGGTGCAAATGGAACCAGCTGCTTGTGACAGGACAGGAACTTAAATCAGTTCAACAGAAGCACCAAGCCGCTGTGGCAGGCAGATGCAGGGTGTGCTGTGGGCCAGTGCAGAGCTCACAGGCTCTGGCAGGAGCAGTGAGAAAGGCTGGCAGGCCCCTGGGAGCCTGCACGCCCTCTGCACAACCAGACACACAGCCCAGGGTCCTGCTTTGGCACCAGTTCAGGAAGCCTTGTTTCCATGGGCTCAGTGGCTGGCTGGCTGCTGGGGTTGACTGACTGCTTTCAAAGATCCTCCACATGTTCCTCTTCAACCTTAAATAGAAGCCCTGTGAAGATGGAATTTTGGCCAGAACTGCATGCTCCACACTATTTTGCCAACCATTTCTGCGGGAGTGCGATGAATCTACCCCAAGGCTTAACAAGCCACATACAAATGGTGATGACAGCACTTGAAAAGACCCTGGACATGCTCTGAGCAGGAGAAAGGGAGGGGCTGGGATGAACAGCACTGCTGTTTTTCTCAACCCTCTGTAGGGGAGCAGTGGGGCTGTACTTGTGGGGCAGGAAGACTAAGGAGAAATTTGGGAAAGCAATAGGATAGGGACCCCCACCCAAATGTGAGAGTCTGAAGAGGAGGTGCCTCCCCAGAACTGCCCCATGTAAGCCACGACCCAGCCCCACTTCCCCATAGGTAGGTCTCATACTGTTTGTATGGCAATTTGTATGTCAGTTGCTTTGCTTGTTTCTTCCTAGGTACAGGAAGGATGATTCCTTTCATAGAATCACAGGAAGTTTTGTGCTGGAAGGAACCTTTAAAGATTATCAAGTCCAACCCCCTCGCCTTGGGCAGGGACATCTTCAACTAGATCAGGTTGCTCAAAGCCCCATCTCACCTGGCCTTGAACACTTCTGGAGGTGGGGAATCCATAACTCCTCTGGGCAACCTGTTCCAGTGCCTCACCACCCTCATGGTAAAGAATTTCTTCCTAACATCTACATAAATATCTCCTCTTTTAGTTTAAAACTGTTCCACCTTGTTCTGTCACTACCTGCCTGCATAAAAGTCCTTCTCCCCTTTTTCTTATAAACCCACTTTAAGGACTGGAAGGATACAATGAGGTCTCCATAGAGGCTTCTCATCTCAGGCTGAACAATCCAGCTCTCTCAGTCTGTCTTAAGAGCAGAGGTGCTTCAGCCCTCTGCTCATCTTTGTAGCCCTTGTCTGGACCGCTTCAACAGGTCTAGAGGACACCAGAGCTGGATATGGTACTCCAGGTGGGGTCTCACAGGAGAGCATTAAAGGGGAAGAATGTCCCTTGACCTGCTGGCCATGCTTCATTTCAGGCAGCCCAGTACACAACTGGCTTTCTGGGCTGTGAGTGCACATTGCTGGCTCATGTCCTGTTTTTCATCCACCAATGGACTTCTTTTGAAGGCTGATGCAGAATATAGCATTCCCTACTCAATCCTACAACCAACAATTAAATTTTAAGGTCACCACAGATCCCCAATTGAAAAAATACTACTTGTATTTTTAAAATTCTTTTAGGAAGTAGATAAATGTTTGCATACCAATACATTTCATAAAAATGATGTCTTGGTTTATGTGAAATAGAGAGAGAGCAAAGGAATTTGAGGTTTTCTGCCACTGATGCCATAAGAGCAATTGGAGGGTGACATATAAACTGTGGGAAGGCAGTGGTGAGCTGAACAAGTGCATACTGATGCTCTGGCCTCTTAAATATCTTACAAAGCTTGGTTCTGACAAAGGGGGATGTTGCAATTAGCTTGCAAAATTCCTTTTGGAATTTTGAAATGAAAGGCAGCTGTGAAGCAGCAGCTGTACAGATTAAGTGCCAGGGAGGTCTTGCTGAGCTCTCTCAGTGTCTGGTCAAGGCCCATGCCTCCTAAGTCATGGCACAAACAAGAACTGAGCACATTCAAATGGATCTTCTTTTACTTCTCCACTAGTCATGGGGACTGATTTAATGCCTCCCTTCTCATTACCAGCAGGAAGGTACTTTGTAGCACTAGGCCAGATCCCAATTTCTTCTGAGTAACTATTTTCTGTGCTCCCATCACTAGACCTGTCAGGGCTTCTTCAGCACATCACATGGTGCTATGCAAACACTTCCTAAAGCCCTTTTGCTACCAAACAGCTAAGGCAGATCTATTTGCTAGGATGAGGCTGGCTGACCTTGGCCATATTCACTCATTTTAACAGGAATTCCTCATCACTCCTCCCATTCTCTGACCTGTGGCTGCTGCCCCACCAGGTATACTAAGAATTTTCCAGAAATTGTTGCTGTTGTTATTATTCCTGTCGATGGAATCTCCCCTTTCTCACAGATTAAAGGTAAGTGATCTCTCAGTAATAGCTATTGGAGCTTTCTGACTTAAACTGTAATTGGTGTTTATATCCTCCCTACATATAAAAAAGCCAGGAGAAATGTGATCTCAGCTTTCTTCTGTTTTCCAAATCCAAACCGAAAACCTTATTTAAATGCTTCTGCTTATGTTGTTCAGATCTGCTCATTCTTGCAGAGGACATGTTTTGGTCCCTGATTTCCCTAGATTTCTCTTCCTTATCTTTTAGCACTGGTTACCCTGGGTAACCTTCTGCCTGGCTGCCCCAGCTTCCTGTTCCACCTCTCCACACTCTGTTGTTTCAGAGCAGATGGAGTGTTCCCCACTTGGCCTCTCTCCACCATTGGCTCCATGTGGCTTTTTAGTGGCTGCCTTGCTCTGGCCAATGGGCTCTGCGCCACTGCTGCTTTCCTCCCTGGAATGAGTGAAGAAGTGGCCTTTCAGCTTAGCTAATCAACTTTTAAAGAACTGCCAGGCTCCACTTAGATTTCTCCATCAGCTTTCTCTCCTGGTCTCAGTTCATCATTTCCTGGCTTTAGGAAAGGAGCTGTACTGGAAAGAAGCAGTGTTCAAAGCCAGGTTGGATAAAACCTTGAACGGCCTGGTCTAGAGGGAGGTGTTCCCTGCCTGTGGGGATATCCCCCGGCAGGGGATATCGGGACTAGATGATCTTTAAGGTCCATTTCAAGCCCATAGCTTGTACGATTCTGTGATTTTTATGAAGCCACGCTGCCGGCTGGATCGCCTGCAGGGAAGGAAGGTGAGCGCCAGGCCAAGCGCTGGCCACCCCTGGGGGCCGGGTAACCCACCCACCTCCGGCGTGACCAGGAAAGGAATGTGATTTGTTTGTCACTGATGCCACAAAAGCACCTGGATGGTGAAACAAACTGTGGAAAGCGGAACAAATTCGTACCGATGCCTCTTAAGTACCTCGCAAAGCTTGGATCTGACAGTGGGGCGTTGCAATCAGCTTGCAAAGTCCTTCCGGAGCTCGGACACGAACGGCGGCTGTGAAGAAGCAGCTGCCCACATTCTGGTGTCGCCGCCGGACCGTGCCGCGCAGGCGGAAGAAGGCTGCCTCGCCCCTACAGGGGGCTCTGCAGGGGAACACCGCCCTTCGCCCTCCCCCCACCTCCGGGGTCACCCCTGAGGAGCTGCCGTCCCGCCCGTCTCCCGACACCGGCAGCCGCGCAGGGGACGCGGTTCCCGGGCGGCACCACCCCCACCCGGGGCTCCGCCCGCTCCGCCCGGGCTCGGCCCCGCCCTCAGCTCCGCCCGCTCCGCCCGGGCTCGGCCCCGCCCGGGCCCCGCCAGCCCCGCCCGCCCCGCCCCGGCCCCGCCCCGCCCCGCCCGCGGCGGCCGGCAGGGGGCAGGCGCGCCCCACTCGGGGCGGTGCCGGGGCCGCTGCGGCCGCGCCCCTCGGGCCCCGGGCGGGCGTCACGTCCGTGCGCGGCTCTCGGGGTTGGCGGGCAGGCGGAAGCGCGGGCGGGGCGGCGCCGTTGCCGCAGTGACGGGGTCGGGAGGGGCGGAGCGGCGCGAAGATGGCGGCGGTGCCGCCGCGTCGCTCCCAGCACCACCATCACCACCACCACCCGCCGCCCGGCCCGGCCTCCCCGCCGCCCACCGCCGCCTCGCCGCCGCGCAGCCCCAGCCTGGCACCGGCCGCGCAGCGCCACAGCCTGGCCGGCCCCGAGGGAGAAGCGCCCCCCGACGCGGACCGGCCCCCGGCCGCGGAGTGCGCGGAGGGTTCGGGCGCCGCCGCGCCGGCCCCGCCGCCGGGCTCGGGCAGCAGCTCCAGCGGCTCTTCCTCGTCGTCGTCGTCCTCGTCCGCGTCGTCGTCGGCGGCGTCGAGCCCGGCGGCGGAGAGTCCAGAAGCGGCGGGCCCGGGCGCGGCGAGCGGGGCGTTCCGCGAGCTGCTGGAGGCCTGCAGGAATGGGGACGTGACGCGCGTGAAGCGCCTGGTGGACACGGGCAACGTGAACGCCAAGGACATGGCGGGGCGCAAGTCCACGCCGCTCCACTTCGCCGCCGGTGGGTACCGGGGCCTCCCGTGCCCGGCCGGGCAGTGACAGCGAGCGGGACAGGCAGGGTTCCCCCCGGAATAGCTTCGGGCAGGGGCCTCCAGCGCCGCGGTGATTCGGGAGTGGGCAAGCCTAAGTTGGAAGAGTGTGAGCACGCTCTCTTCCCCGGCGGCGTTTCGCTACAGGCTGTTGGGAGAAGGCTTTTAAATCCCTTTCTCTGGGTGAGACGAGTGGGAGAGGAGATCCTGAGAGTGTAAAGAGACTGTAAGATCTAAAAGTACGGACAGTAATCTCTGTGTTTGATATCCATGGGCTGCTGCAAACTTGTGCAGTGGACTTAGGAAGCAAGAAACTGGAGCTCAGGACAGAGTTGACTTGAAGTAAGGGCTTCACCTGTGTTGTAACAGCTCAGGGACTCCTGTGTGATGCACATGCACTTCATGGGCATCAGTTTTGATGCCTTGTTCTTTGTAACTTCTTTCATTTCGGTATGGTTGCTGGTTCGTGTCTGCATCTCTTGTGGTTTGAGTAGGCTGGGGAAAGGGATCAAATGGAACAGCTGAACTGTATAAGTTACAAATGAGTCCAGGATAGGATACACCTCTTTGTGCAGACATGTCATTGTGATCAGAACTAGTGTTATAAAAGAAATTTAGCAGTAGGGTCCAACAGTGTAGAATAACTGGAAGTAAATATTACATTTTGGCAAATAGAGTTGTAATAGATTACTGCAGTTCATAAAAAGAATATTTCTTATGGGATGTATTCTTCACTGGGGGCACAAGGCACACAAAATTAATGATAAAAGTAAAATGAAGGAAGTCTTTTAAATCATTACTCCTAACTCAGGGCTTGTACAATTGCTAGGTGTGTGGTCAGTCTGAGAGTTCTCTGGGGTGTGCCACAGTGTTACAGAACTGGACCTTACATAGTGGAGATCTGGTTTGAGCTTTGTTGTGCGCTGGTACACATAAATTAAGATAATTAACAAGTCTGTATCAAGTGATCAGTGTTTAACTGCTGGCATGTGGCTCTAAATCACTGTTGAAATCAGTAGCAAAATGAACACTTTATGGTGCAGTGTTGCCTGGCACTCTGAACAGTGCTGTACATTTATCAGTTAGATAACACACTCAGAGATTGTATGGGTTTGTTTTCATTTTCACAGTGTAAGAGACGTTTGACAATGCCCCTAAGGGAACTTTTGGTCCTGAGCTGTTTCCTTTTCATTATTCTCTGCTCCCTGAGCTCTACTGCTGAAACGGGGCTTAAGCAAGTGGAGTTTAAAACACAGCAACCTTCTGGAGTATGGAGGTGGACTTAATTTTGATGAACCCTGAACATAATGCTGGTACCAACTGCATGTGTGCTTATGAAGTTCTTAATGTTTTGGAAGGCTTGAGTCTGCTCTGCTAATTTTGGATTCAGACTTAAAGTTAGATCTTGGTGCTTCCTCTAAAATTCTGAGATCTCAGGTTGTAACTTCAGTGCCTGTACAAATTGCAGTGGGTAATATCTGCCTGAAGCTGCAGTGGGTAATATCTGCTCTGATTAGAGAAGAAATGGACAAAACTTACTGGAGGGGGTAAGGTTTGAAAGTTGGTAATATTATTAAGATGTTACTGTAATAGCAGTGGAAGGTGGTTTGTTATAGCATGAGGAAAATAGCAGATGAAGTTCTTGTATCTAACAAATCCCATATCCATTTTTCTAGATTTAAAGACTTTCCTTAGATACCATACCTGCTTTATCTCAAATTGCTGCTTGTCTGGTGCCAGTGGATTAGACATGTAAGAGCATTAGGCAGATTTCTTATTGCATACATCTTGAGAGCCTGCATTTTGGAAAGGCCTGTAAGCAAGCATGTTGTTCGAATGCAGCTGATCTTAAGCAGGGTATACCTGCCAGTGAGGCAGTGTGTTGATTTGATCTCCTTTGTGGGCCAAAGGTAAAATAAAACCTGTTTGCTTATGAGCATAACAGTCTGCTGTGTATAGGAAGCTGTTTTTTGGATAATAGCCCGTGTTTGTGATCCATACCTAGATGTGAATTGTATGGCCTTCAGTAGGGGAATGGGTGGATGAGAGTGCAGGATGTTGTGTTTTAAACTGCTTTTTTCAAACTTCTTGAAGCTAAACTCTTAGAGGAATAGAACTTCGCTTCTGATGTTGTGATTTGTGAAAGAGAAATTCTTCTTCTAATTTCTTCTTAATTTCCCGTTTTTGGGACTGAATTTTGTTGTTTTTTTTTTCCTTTCCCCTCCCACTGGCTACTTGACTTCTCAGCTGTTTTTTCAGATGTCTATCTTGGCAGCAATGCCAGGCAGTTAAGTTCTTTTACTGTAATAGGGAAGAATAACTTCCCCAGTTATAGTTCCTTGTAAAAAGTACTAAGTTTGGGTTTCCTTAAGCTTTGTAAGGTTTCTGATTTGAAAATCACCTTTACGTCCTTTCTTGTGGCAGGACTATAAAAAGAGGGACTTCTGAGAGCATTCAGAATCCTTAGCATAGGTGTAAGCTGGAGGTAAGACAAGGGATGAAATCTGTTACCAGTTATTAAAAAAGCTGGGGGATGGGTCTGAATCTGTTTCTAGGAGTCGGAGTCACCTGTCCATTATTCACTTCCAGATAAATCGTACATGGCCACGTCAAATTGGAGCAACAGTTTTATCCACATTTTCTCTGTATGGGATACCTGAAGTGCCAATTGAACTGAAAAAAGGGGAGGCGCTTCTTCAGCTCTGTGTTGAAGTGTCAAGTAGTGTGCTGAATAAATCTGACCTGCTTTGGTTAGCTGTTAATAAAGGAGAAATTACTGAGGTGATATTACAGTTATAGAGGCCTCTCTTGCAAGCGGGAAGAGTTTGAGTGTCAGAACCCAGGACATCCCTCTGGCTGTCCTGAGCAGCCAAGACTCCTGCCAGGGGGCTCAGAGATCCTGGCACAGAGCCCAAGATGCCTGTGGTTTTGATTATGACCTGTGGAGCAAGTTACCAACCTTAGATGAAGATCTGCAAGCCACGACAGTTTAAGTAGAATGATAGTGAATTTATCATGGGGTGAAAAAGTAGACTTTGGGGTTTTTAGCATGAGGATTCTGGGGGCAAGATGGAGGGAACTGGGTGTGTCCAGCCTTTCTCCTTCTTCTTCTTGGCTTCCATCTTCTGCCGTGATGTTGGCACTTTTAGATTGGTTTAGAGTAGAAGCTCACTGTCTAACATAGGTGATAGGTATTGGAAAGTAATTGTAAACATTGTATACATCATTTTTAGTATAAAGACATAACACTGCCCCGGGGGCAGGCAAGAGTGCCTTGGACTGTCTTGCTGAGCAGACCTCAGCTGGACAGGAGAAAATATTTTACAGATAAGATACAATAAACAACCTTGAGACCGAGAATTGAAGAGCACTGACTCCTTCTTTGAGCGCCGAACTGGGAAAAGAGACTTTCTAACTTTTCTTGGGGTCCCTCTGACCAGCGGCAGGCCCTGGGAGTTGAGCAAAGTATAATTTTCCTTTCATCCTCCTTGCTGGGACAGAGGAAAAGTCAGTATTGTCTCAGCTGCTGTATGGATTGCAGGATATTTGTGTCTCTGGTACTAGCGCAGGCTTTGGATATTGTACAGCAGCACCCAAGCCCCAGGTTTTAAAGACTTGAAAGTGACTGAGTGACTTTAAAACATGTAAAAAAAAAAAAAAAAGAAATTAAGTGGAGGTATTAATGTATGCATAGCTTTTACATTCAGTTTTTTTTCAATAAAAACTAGCTTGCTAAAAAAATCTAAAAGGCATGTGTGCTAAGCATGGACAAAGGTATGTTTGGCTTAACTTTTTATCCATACTGGTAGCCAAAAGCAGATACCTAGGGAAGAGTTATACACTTACCCTCTTCATATGATACTTCTCTGAGTACTCTGCTTGGAGTTTGTAGCTTAGCAATTTTCTGAACAAAACTCAGTTTTTAAATGTTATTAGAGGGCCATCTTGTGTGGAAGGATAGAATATAAGAAAATAGTGCAGAAGGTAATCTCACACCTGAGGAGCTGCAGCTGTACTAATCACCAAAGATTAGGAACAGGCCTGCCCTTAATAGGCCAGAGCTGTGTCCAATAGGAAGACGAGTGCTACAAAAGAGTTGGTGTTTGCTGGTTGCTTTCTGAGGAAGGAGTTAGTGCTGTGAGGAGCTGCCTGTGAGAAATCACCGAGAAGGCATGGAACTTTTGCAATAAGCTGACAACAATCCTGTGCTGAGGAGTTCATTAAGTAATTGAGCTGTTAACTTGTTCTAGAAGTAACTTGTTTTCTCTTGTGCTTTCCACCCTCTTCACTGGAATATTCTGTGTTCTGCTTAGCAATTTTCTTCTTCAAACTGGGTTGAATAAGACAAACTTTTTCACTTACTTGTCTTTAGAGTGCATTCCTTTGATCTAAACATGTTACTTCTTTTCCTTAGAGAAAGATCTTAACTGTCATTGTTTATTTCACCAAAACAGGGACATCTTTACTGTACTATATGCCCCTCAGTAGCTGAAAATACTTGTAAGGATAGTGTTTACTGTTCTTGTAAACTGGCCCAACAATTCTGCATTTGATGGTGTTGTTGACACATAGTTGATAAAATACCTCTTTTGCCAGCATAATGAAATGATTTGGTTTTTCTGTGTGCATGTGAGAGGTAGATTTTTTTTTTTCCTGTTGGGAATGCTATTGACTTTTTTTAATAGTTGGGAGATTTTAGTCTGTGATGAGGTGTCACGTTTTAGGTACAGTTTGTATGGGATATGGTGTGCCTTTACTTCTCAGCCTAAGGTATATCCTGTGCATCATTTTGTGGTTTGTGAGTTGAAGTGCCTGTGTTGGTCCATCGTTTTTGAAGCAGGCTGACAGTGATGCATTCATGACTCTGTGTGTGTCGTCCTCCATGCAGAGTGCTCACGTACCAAAGCTGATTTTCTGTGACTTTTCTACCATTAATACACCTGGATGGGGAGGACTCCTATGAGCATTTGTCTGAAATCTGAGCTTTTTTCTAGAGCTAGCTTGGGAACAGACTTGCTTTTTCCCTTCTGAAACAACGCTGAGCCCTATAAAAGGAAACATTTGTATTTCCTGCTGGTACCTTGTTTCATATGTTTTTAGACCTAGTCCTTGCTGGTAAATCATTAATAATAGCACCTCTGTCAGAAGTGACTAGATGGATGGACCTGGTAGAAATAAGCTGAGTCCTACTCAATTCCTTCATATAGCCACAGTCATAAGCTTGACCAGTTCCACACCCATTTTAGGGGAAGTTAAACTTTTTTTTCTTCAGGAAGTTAGCTCCTTGCATTCTTGTGCAACACATTCTTTTAGGGTTACAGATGTTGTCTTTCTAGTGTTTTATCCAGGGATATAGAGAGTACTAGTAATAATTGCTGAACTGTGCCTTAATGCCCACTTCTGTACCAAGAAGAGGTAGAAGCTACCAGGAGGGGCTTTTGAAAGTTATGGAACTGGGATCACAGAGTGGAATGTTCTTGGTCTCACTGAAGTTCAGGCTTGGAGAAACCTGATTTAAGGTGACTTGCTAAAGCATCAGTGATAGAGCTTGTTTTCTTTCTGCTCATGTGTGTAGTAATGGCAAAAAACTGTTGGGGGAAAGCAGTTTTTTTTCTAAGCATGCCTTTGATATCACTAGTAGTAGCTGTTGGAGGTCTAATCACTTTGTGAAGGCTAGCATAAATAGCTATGCTCTAGAAAATTTCTGGAGTATACAGCTTTAATCCTGAAGGCAAAGGGATCTCACTTGGGTTGGGAAGTAGCCAGTGGTCAGAGTTTGAGAGGTGATCAAGTTGATTTGTCAGCTAGCAAGCTGTTAATCATAAAAATACAAGCTGCTTTGACATATATGAGTAAGATAAGCGACTGCAGAGGCAGAGCTGACCTAAGTAGTGACTGAGTGTTCCTTGAGGGAGAGCCAGGACATGGCAGGAGGTAGTTGGTAACTTCTGACACACTTCCACTCTGTGCAGAGACACCTGAAACAAGCACTCCACCTGTGCTGCAACGTAGAGCAAATGAGATTACGTTGCTCTGGAAAGCTTTGCTTGAGACATCACTCTGACACTAGTCTGACTCAGCTTGTTGCAGGTGTGCCGTGTGTCCTTGTCGTAGGAGAGATGTCTGACCTCACATGGGTGTTTGTAAAGCCAAGACACTGTTCAATTCTGCCTTGTGCCACTTAAAAGGGGGTTAGTAATTTTCAGCTGGATTCATATGGATACAATGAAGAATGCAAATTGTGTAGTCAATTAAGAAACATCTGGCAGTCTTACAGCCTCAGAGCCTGCAAAATGCACGCTTTTTCATGTTAAAAAAAAAAGATGAATTGATAAATTACTGGCCTTGACTTTGAAATTTTTTCTTTTATGTTTTTGGCAGCATTTTGGTACATGAACTCTGTTAGTGTTACAAGTGTACTTTTTAGTAGAAAGTTTGCTTTCTTTGTGACTAGTAACTTGTTCTCTTGAATTATCTTCTGATACTTTGTGCAATATGTCTCCTTCCCATTTAAAAATTTTTGGAAGGAATTTACAAGAGGATATAAATGCAAAATGTTAGACCTTCAGTAATACTGTGCTATGTGCACTTTTTCCCAGCCTGAAGGCTTTTCAGTTTACTTAGTTAAATCACTTAGTTTAATTGTTTTCTGCCTAGTGAAGTGGGAGAAGTGCTTGGGAATGTCTTAGGGAAAAGGTCTGATCCTGGTGTGCTGTAGTAAGGCAGTGGCACACAATGACTTAACTTGGACTTCTTTCCCCCTTTGCTTATAGCATAAGACATTTTTGAAAAGATCATGTCTCCAAGAGTGCTCCTCTACCTCAAGGGCTTCTATTCCCATATAAACTGTGTTTAGTGCTCTAACAAGTGGGATTGCATTTAATAAGCACATCTTTACAGCTTTGCTTAAGGTCCTGGTGATACCTACAGATGTGCTTAACCTGTGATTATACACTTCTGTAAAATTTATCTCCTCTTGGAGTCTTGTTCTTAAATCAAGGAGGTGAAAGGAGGAGGAAAAACACCTAAGGAGAATCATAAGTCTTCTGGGTCATAAGTCAAACTGTGCACATAGCAGCTTTGCAGAGATTGGAATTGGCATTTGGAGGAGTTCTTGCTATGTTGAGATAAAGTGTCATTAACTGGGTGATGGGTGAAACAGTTCAGCTGCACTTAAACTGATCAAACTGACTAGTTGATGTATTTACTCACCAGGGAAAGCATTCTTCCAGCTCTTCAGGCAAGTCAGTTAGTTTTTTACTAAACTTTCTGAAAATTTGGCAAAGAATTGGGTGTCTTAACTATTACCATGTGAAGGCTTTTGACTAACTGAAGGAAGGTTTAAAGTGGAAACCCTAGTGGGCATATGTAACAGAGGGTATAACTGATGCTTCTCTTGCTTTCCTTGCATCCCTCTCATCATTCAGCATGCTCAGCCTTTGTAGAATGTCTTAATGAGATGGAGTGGCAGGCTCTGGTACAACACAGTTCCGTTCTGTCGTGACTGTAAGTGAATTGTCCAGCTGTTGTTTGAGCAGGTGAACAGAGTCTGACTTTATGGTGAAATTAAGCAAGAAGTAGATGAGGAACATGAATAATGTACAGTGAACCAAGAGTGAACGGTTTTAGGTACTAGATCCCGTTGTTTTGCCAGACAAATGAACAGAAGTATGTTGTGTTGCAGGTTTTGGAAGGAAGGATGTTGTAGAGCACTTGCTGCAGACAGGAGCCAATGTCCATGCCCGGGATGACGGAGGACTGATACCCCTGCACAACGCCTGCTCCTTTGGCCACGCAGAGGTGGTCAGCCTGCTGCTGTGTCAGGGGGCTGACCCAAACGCCAGGGACAACTGGAACTACACTCCTTTGCATGAGGCTGCTATCAAGGGCAAGATAGATGTGTGTATTGGTAAGTGTCTGTCGCTTGTTAGGTTGAAATTTTACCTGATTATGTTTTGTGAAGCTGTAATTGTTTCTGTGCTGAACTTGGGATGAGAGGTCGTTTTAAAAGTGAACTACTTTTAATCCAGCAAGTAGGTATACTGATAGTAATTTAACTTTTTCTTGTCTGTAAAGTTTGCAGAACTTACATCAGAAAATTTATCCTGGAGAGATTGGATGAAGTCTCCTTGTTTGTTAAATTACACTATTTAAAATCTGGAATATGTAGGTTTGAATTTCTTGGTTGCTGTCAGGAAAACTAGCTTTACTAGATAAAGTCTTTAGGGTTTTTTTGGCTGCTCTACATGTTGTAGTAGTGGTTTGGAAGATGGTAAACCTTTAATTCCATGCAGTATGGAGAAAGAAGTCAGTCCTTTGGAGCTTTCCAGTACATTTTACAGGACACCATTGTTCAGGGGTGATCTATCTTCAGTATGTGTTTTTTAGCCTGGAGCCAAAGCAATTTCAAATAAAATTGAACACTTCAACTGTTTAAAATTTGTTGAGAACATACAAAGAGCTTTTCAGTCAGGATGTCTTTAACCTCTGTGGTTTTTTCCTGTACTAGTAGTACTTTGTTTCTAAATGGGAACTTCTATTTTTATTTTTTTTACACTCAGAGCAGTTTCTTGAGCTTACACTCTTTTAACTTCTACTAACCTGAATAAAATTATCTGCTCACCATTTCTTTTTAATCAAACATGTAAAGAAAAGCCTGACTTTTAGGTACTTTAGTTAAGATTACGAACTATATGTTCTATGTGTTATCCAGATCACAAGACACAATTATCACACTTTCAGATAATGTTTTTTTTTTCTTAAAGTTTTATTACATAGAATTCCTTCATAGAAAGCTACAAAATTTACAGAATGAAATATTGTGTTAGCTTTTTTGCAATATTTAAGTCATTACTTAACAATAAACACCAGAAATTGAGTGAAGGAAAACTGAAGGAAACACCAGAATATAATTTTCAGTCTGTTTCTTGTTTTTACAAGCAATATGATTTCATCTCTGTATGCAAGGTAAAACGTGGAGAATATTCTATAGAAATCAAATATAGTTGATTATGCAGCAGTATGTGGGAAGAGATCCATTGATATAGGTTCCAGTAACAGTCTACTATGACAATGTTGAATAGAAAAGTAAGTTTAATTCCAGTCAGTAACTGGAGTCTAGTATGGGATTTAAAGGAAGTAATTACTTTGGTCTGTTTTCTGCTGGAGTCAGCCTGATTTTGGGAACTGCTGACTGAAAATCCAAATTAAATGGAAGAAAGTTTGACAGTAAGAGGCTGAATAGAAAATTGATCTTTTGCTTTGGAAAAGATTTGTCTTTTTCAGTTTTTGAAACCTTGTATTAGAGCAGGAAAGGGTGCAGCAGCACACTTTTGTCTTTATAGCTTGGTTGCGACAGAGGTTTTAAGATTTGGCAGGGCAAGGCAGCATGGGTAGTGTTGCTTTGGGTGGTTTGTCTAAAGACTGATACTCTGGAGGAGTTGGGGCAGGTCAGCTGAAGAGGCAGATTGTGTGATACGTCTGTTTTGATGTGTAGTGTGGGTAGAAATTGAAGATATTTAATTTCTGTTGGTACTGATCAGAAAAAACTGATGGTACCTTTAAAGTTCACTCTTAATTCAGCAAGATGTTTTGGACTTGGTGAAAGGAAGTGCAGGATTAAATTTATGGCTTGTGTTACACAGACCTTCATTCTGTATTCTCTGCACAGGGTAGATCTGTGATTCTAAATGTTGATGCTAGACTTAGGGCATGATCCATGTATATGTAAATGTTCAACATATAGTACTTGCTGATCAAATCCCAAGGCCCTTCTGCCGTCTGGAACAGTTTTAGAGTTCCTTGGAAGCAGTGAGCAGGCTTATAGCACTACACACAGTTCTTCTCCAATCTGCCTGCAAGTAGCTGTGGAGGAATTTTGGGGCATTTTTGTATAATTTATTTTAAACAAACAAGCATGATGCTGTTCTGCTTGGTTTAGTTACAGTTGTCCATGTCTGTTGTACTTGAGTCAGATATTTCATTTGTCAGGGTGAGAGTTCCTACTAAAGGCAGTGGCACCAGTCACCAGATTATTATGTACTGTAGTATGACACTACTTTGGGATTTACTTGATTCTATAAAACTGGTAGGACATGAGTCTAGACAAAGAGGTGTATTCTGTCATGTTTATAGTCATTTTGCAATTTATATCTAGTGGGCAAGTGCGTTTTGTTGTCTTCAGCAAAATTCCTGTTTATTTCTAGAGGTTTTAAATAAAACTTATATTTTAAGGTCTTCAGCTTTAATTTTAAGTCTTTTGAAGGAGTATGTTTTACACCAGGATAATGCAGCAATGTTTTTAGGGCATGAATTCTGACTAGGAATATTTTAATAGCTTTTTGGAATACATTTGGAAGTAATATAGCTTTTTGGAATACATCTTGGAGTACTGATGTTTACACCTTAAGTGTATGCTGTTGCAACTGATATGATGGAAGAAACTGGTCTGTTAAAAAAAAATTAAAATTCAAAGAACACATCCTGGGAGCACTTCTTGTTAAACAAGCAGGGCGTGCTTTTTAAAAAGCATTGTTTGAAGAACAGGAAATCCTGACATAACCTGGAATTTTTTGCGGAATTTGAATATCTGTTTGAAAATTGATAGACTGTGTAGAAATTAGTCATCTAACCTCATTTTTGGCTACCTACTCTGGGCATCTTCTGAATGATGAAATGAGTGAGAATTTTCCACTTTACCTTCTCTCCTTTGCTTCTTTTTTGCCACCCTAGCCTGCATATTTCCTGTGTTACATCTAACATAGAACACTTTTTTTGGTCACTTTACACGTCAAAAAGGGAAAAAGTGATAACTGAACAGAGCGTGGAGATGCAGCACATTCATGAATAATGATTTTTCAGAGAAAAATCTCGGACATTGAAGCCTAGCAGAAAGACCATCAAAAGACACGTAGTGACTCCAGCAGTAGCATACTCTTGTGTCTAGCACAAGTGTTGGACTGGAGTATCTGTATTTGTGCTAAAGTTACTGTAGGTGCTCAGCTTTTGTGCTGAGATTAGAGTAATAGGTACAAACCCTGCCACTGGAGGAAGCTTGTGTAGAAATAAGTATACATGAACTGGTGAAAACTCACCGGACTGTGCACCCAGGAAACTGTAGGACAGCAGACAGCTCATGTGAGTTCTTTTTCTTCTGTTTTACTGATTGCACATTGCAGTTGTAGGGCAATGTAGGGAGGGGTGCTGAGTGTGGCAGGAGTATTGGCTCTCCTGGGTGGCAGTCACTTTTTTGTTCTGCTTCTGGAGGGGAAAGTCTTGGTAAGCAGTACTCAGCTGGTTTGCTGACCATCTCCTGCCATGTATTCAGTCACTGCAGATCTGTTTAGTTGCCAAGTAATTACACTTGAAACACTGTTTGCTTTGTGTGATCAGTGTTTGGAACAAATTTCTTGAAGCATTGGAACCAATCGTTAGCATCCTCCAATATTTATGACTCCTAGGATTGGTTTATTGTCAGGAAGATGCATTTTCAGTGTCTGTGAACTGCTTCTACAGCTAATGAAAAGTGGTTTTGTATCTCAATGTTGTATTTTGTCCTGGAATAGTGGATGACTGGTGAACTCTGCAATGTGCATTTGGAGGAATGCTGTGACGTCAGGGTAGTGACTGTTCTGCATGTTGGGCTGTGGAGGAAGAATGATCTGTTTCTTCAGTCTGACTGCAGCATAGACTTTCTCGTGAAGATCCACATATCTCATTTTTTTTTCCAGAAATGAAGCTCATGATCTCAGACTGTAAAATCCTTAAATGTATCCTTCTTTCCCATGGCAATCAGTAATTTAGGAACTTGATAAAGAGCCTGCATTTGAACTGTGTGGCATAGCAATTCGTGTACAAAATTCCTGAAAGCTCTAATTCACTTCTTAAATACTGTAGTACTTTTGGATTTGAAGGTGTTCTGTGGCAAGAGAATTTTTCAGTTTAAAAGTCTTGCTGAAAGAAAACAACCCTTCCTTTTTTTGGAAAGGAGATTATTCTTGATGACTTTTATTGCAAGCTGTTCAGGAATTTAGTGAGAATTAGTGAGCAGTCATATTTGTTTGCAGTTGCTATGTCCTTTGTGATTTTATAGATATGTCTTTTTTTTTCTTTTTTTAAATGTCTCTTTTCCAAGCTGAAAAGCATAGTCTTCTGTTAAGTCATTCTGCTGAATATTCTGTTTTTTCTGCCTCCTGCCTTCCTTCACCCTCAGCCATTTTTTAGGGGTGAGCAGTTGGTATGGGGGATATGGACACCAAAAATGGGTGAAGTAGATTTATAGGGTAACCTAATTTCCTTTCTGTTTTTTTGCATGGGAATAGTTCAAGGTAGTTCCTGTGTGCTAACAGCTCCTTTAAAACTATTTGTGTAGCACAGTTGGTTTTTTCTTGTTAAAAAAAAACTAGACTAAAAATAACCTTACAGAAGCTGTGCTTATGCAGTTTGTCTGGGTTTGCTTTGCCCTCCAGTGCATTTGTTACTGCAGGAGCTGTTCTTGCAGAGATTTTTTTTTTCCATGTGGATCTCCAATTAAGTGTTGATATCTATAGGACTGCTAGGCTAAATATTATCTCAGGTGTCATACACCTGCTTAGTTTTTAAGGGCGTCCTTCAAAATATGCAAACACAGGCATATCTGTGGTGATGCCATGATTTATGGCTCTGAACATGCAGAGTACTGTAGTAATTTTAGTGAAATAAAAAAATCTATCTACTGAAAAGCTCCCTTCATCACTGTACAAAGCTGTAAAAGTTTTTAAAAATCACTTTTAGTCCATGCAGTGTTAAAATGATCCACCTAGAATTACTTAATGTGACTTGAGAGTAGTGTTTTTACTGGCTTCCTCAGGCTAGTTATAAAATCTACTGCAAAGATCCTGTGGCATGATGAATTTACCATTCCAGTGCTAT